AGATAGTAGACCTTTGTCTGAGGAAGAGCAGGTGAAGATTTTTTCCCACATTGTGGATTGTCTCTTCACACTGCTGGTGGTTTCTCTTTTTGTATTCTTTAATTTTATTGGTGGTTTATAGGGGAGAAAAAGTAATCTTTTCTCTACCCACTTCAAGGTTCAAGCCTGAGGCCCATATAACAAATTTCAGATTAATAAGAGAAAAGTGTACAGTTTATTTAAAAGAAATTTTATATGACATGGAACATTTAGACACGAAGACCCAAAGAAACAGGAATCCTTTGTCCTTTATGGTGAGGTTTGATGAAGAGTGGACAGCTGTGCAGGAATGTGATTACACAAGGGCATCTGACCTAATGGCCACAAGCTGGGAGGAAAGCCTCGTTTGGATTCTTCCCTGTGACCCTGTGTCTTCAGAGACAAGGATGCTCATTTCCTCCGTGTACAAGGAGGACACTGCTCACATAGGGTCCTGTGACCTGCTTTAGGGGCAAGGCAGTTAACTTTTTTGACAGCTGGCTTCAGGGAAGAAGGGTGCGAAAAGTTCAGGGAGACCTTCCTGTTTCAGCTGTTTTCTCACATGCAAAAATGCTTCATGTTGGGGTGGTATGTCCTGAACCCTGTGCTTTTCAAGCTGGGTCCCTTTACGAATGCATTGAACATGCAGTGCCTTGCTTGGAGCCTTACTGTGTTCAGAGATCTTGAGTTGTGCTTTGAATGTGTTCTTTCAGGAATGTGTTCCAGAAAACCTAGAACTAAAGAGGAAGATTTTTGCCCAGCTAGATCGCATTGTGGACGACAGAGTCATCTTAAGCAGTTCGAGCTCTTGCCTCCTGCCTTCCAAACTCTTTGCTGGCTTGACACACATGAAACAGTGCATCGTGGCTCATCCTGTGAGTATAAACTCAACAAACTGGTGTGGTGGAGAGTGCTTATAATCTCAGCTATTCAGGAGGCTGCAATTTGAGGATCACTTGAGCCCAGGAGTTTGAGGCCAGCCTGGGTAACGTAGCAGGCTCTGTTTTTAAAAAACTTGTAGACCTGTTTGGGGGGGGGCAATAAATTCTAACAAATTCCTCTGTATTTTGAATTGTTTTGTTGAGATAATATCAGCATTTTAAGAGAGAATATATTTAAAATTTCTTGGATTTTTGTCTGCATACATAGGGTATCATGGAATGAACAATATCTGAGGCCTTCAGTCCTTAAGTAACTCATCATGCAGCCAAGGAGGCTAACTACCAAATAAGTAATTCCACCACCAAGGTAAAAGTGCTACCTTAAAAATGTATATACACCAAGAAGGAGTTTGTAGATACCTCATTTATCCGCTGTAATTTCTTAACCCACTTCAGAGTAGGATTGAAAATCGTTAACAGTCAGATTCTGGGTCTCACTCCTGAGATTCTGATTGAGGAGATTTGACTTTCAGCCATTGTTCCCTTTCCCTGTCCACTGGAATTAACTGGGCAGACTTTCTCCCCAGGAGAGCCTGGGCAGTGGGTTTTAACTGTCATGGGAGCACTCTGAACTTTTTTGAGGTTAATGTATCAGTGAAAAAAAGGGGGGCCCAGGGATTCAGCTCCGTGGTGCTGCCACCTGTCTCGCAAGTGCAAGGTCTCGAGTTCAATCCCCAGTACCAAAAAAAAAAGGGGGGGGTGGGGAACGAGGGCAGAAACTCAGGCTCAGTCAGTCAATAAAGTTGCAGTTCCAACTGTGTAAGCTCAGCTTGGCCATGGAGAGCCAGGACAGCCTGTTAGGACAGGAAAGCCAACTCATCCCGAGCCCTGATAAATAGGGGCAGGGGGAAATGGCATCCTCACCTTGCTACCACCCAGTCACCAAAGGCTAAGGTTAGGGAGAAGCCACACGGAGTAGTGGGGCTAGCCTGGCTGGGGTCTGGCTGGGCTGAAGAGGGGAAGAGTGGAGATATGGAAGGGCATAAATAAAACCCCAAGCCCAGAATGTCCACAGGGCCACCGTATGGTGAGGAGATAGCATCACGGGGAGAGCAGGTATGCTTGGGAAGCAGAAGAGGAAGGCTGGAAGGCTCAGGAATTCAGGTCGCACATCCCTTATCCAAATTCCTTGGGACCAGGGGTGTTTCAGATTTGGGGAGGGCTGGATTTCAGAATATTTGAATGGACTTTATCATCTCAGCATCCTTAATCCAAAAAACCCAAAATTCAAAATGCTGTAAAACCCAAAATTTTTTTTAGCATTATGTCAGTGCTCAAAAGTTTAAGGTTTCTGAAACATTTTAGATTTTCAGCCTAGAATGCTCAATTTGTAGCCAAATTATGGAGAATTCTGAATTATTCTAAAGAATCGGGACAGGCTTAGGTATAGGGCAGCCGTACTGTGGTAGAAACATTGCTTTGGGAAGGTAACAGGAAGGGACCCTGGCAACCCAAGATATGCAGCAGTATCTGCAGCATGAAGGGCCAGAGCCCAGGCTTGAGAGCAGGAACATCCTCTTCTGAGCAAGAGCAGTGGAGAGGACAGTGAGGTGGGGTGCGCCACACGTTTCACGTTCCGAGGAGGGGCGGTCTGGAACGCTACTCGCACAGCTGTGTGGGCCTGCACATCTTCTGCATATTGAAGTCTAACGGACAGGATGAAGAATGGTTACTGTAGGGACACAGAGACCCACAGAACACCGGAAGAGAACCTGTTACATTTCATTCTCCTCCTGTGTAAGGGAGGTCAGCACACAGAGGGACCCTTTTGGAAAGTGTCCAGAGAACAAGTCTGACAAACCCTGTCATGTCTTTGCTTCTGTGACAGATACCTGTCTGCCAAAAGGGCTCTTGGAAACTGGAAGTTCCTTATTTAGATTGCTTCCGTTTGCTTCTTGGAAAGCTTCCCATGTCTCAGAAATATTTTTCCTTCTAAGTAAGTTTTTAAAAACTATTCAGAAACCATCGAATTGTTCAGAAACTACATGTTAGGCTCCTTGACAAGGTAAATCTCCACATCTCAGGGGTTGTTGTTGTTGTTGTTTGGTACCGGGGATCAAACTCAGGACCTTGCAGGCTTGGTGCCACTGAGCTAAATCCCCAGCCCCTCCATATCTCAGTTTTAAACTACCTGATGGGTGAGACTACTCCAGATTCACTTTCTTCTCTGTCATCCCCAGCAACATGGTCAGTTACGCGAGTGATGACATTTCTGTCTCTCTCACACCTCTTGGGCCATCCTGGTACTATTTAGTAAGCACCAACTTTATTTTTTAAAAATTTGTTACTTTTATATAGTATTTTAAACCAAAACCAATGTTAACTAAAGCAAATCAGATAACCTGTTATTTGTCCCTACTTTCTCCTGTCTCCTGTATTTTTTCTGTACTTGAACTGATCATTTGCAGCCTTTGGGGATAGCCATCTTGAATAAGGTGGCAGCCCTAAACAATCAAGAACCATTGATAGCCTTTGCGGATCCCAGAAATTCCCTCAGTCTCCAAGGCCAGGCTGCAGAGCTAAGCACTCAGCTCTCAGCCCCAGCTCTTCAGTCCTCTGATCTTTGCCTGATCAGGAAATAGGATAAAGGAAAAGGAAGTTTGCTCATGTCCCCGAAGGGCCCTGGCAAAGTGGATATTAAGTAATTGTAAAAGATTGCAGTCTCCACCCCTACCCAGGGAAGCCTCTCACCAGCATGTTGTGACATTCACATGTTTTCTTGGGCACCTTTGGCAGGGGTGGGAGCAGGATTTCTGGTCACCTCCACACCTGGGGGTGAGCAGAAGGCAATACCTGGTGGGTGTGTGCTGTTTGCTCTGGAGTAGTTCACATGGGGCCTTAGTGTGGCTTCCTAGGCTGAAGCCAGCAAAAGTGGCATAGACACTGCCATAGGGAAGGCCAGAGAAGAAGGGTATTCATGTGCCCATTTTCTCTGTTCTGAGCATTTTCCCTCTTAAGTGTTTTTTTGTGGTAGCTTTCCTTGTCTTCCTTGTGTCTGGAATTCTCGTGTAGAGGAGCTTAGAGTTGACAGTGTACCCCATGGGGTGTGTTGGTCAGAATTGTCTGAATGTTGCCTTCAGTTGTAGTCTGTGTTTGGCATCAATAGCAGCCATTGGTCAGCGCAGCAGAGGGTTCCCCTGTTAGCCACACTTGCCCAAGCCTTCCCTTCTCTTTCCTTCTGGTCTGTTTTTGGAACACGGCGGTCTGGGGGAGATGCCGGGGGCGGGGGGGGGATTCTTGCTGTGTGAACAAGACTGCCTGCAAGGGTGCAGCCCAGGCAGAGGCACACATTCCCAGTGGCTGCTATGTACTGGCGCTGCCTGGAATCAACCCAGGTCTGCTTTCCTCCATACTGCACCCAGAGTGTCCCCACCACCCCGCCTGCACTTGTGCCTTTTCTGACTCATCTTCCTGTCAGACATGGACGACATTCAGCCTGGTGTTGGTGATGACTTGCATGCTTGACTGACGGGCTTGCTGTTCCTGGGGCAGGTGTGTGTCTGCCCGTTCCTTGTGCATCTGTATGTTGCTGCCTGGTCCAAGCCTGTGTTGCTGCTGTTGAGAGGATTCCTTTCAGCTCTCTCTGTGGGATGAGAGCACTGGCCACAGAAAGTCTCGAAACATAGGGTATTCAATATTCTCCACCCAGTGTCTTTAGCCTGTGCTTTGTCCCTGGAAGGGGAAGAGGACCTGCCTCACCCCCCATGCCATGTGGATGAATTGTCAATGGCCTGGCTGTCTCCTGGGAGGGCCAGCCGCTTCCCTGTGGGGCTGGCTGGTTCCATCCGCAGAGAGGGGGTGAAGGAAGCCTCTGTTGGCGCACTGTGCTATCTGCAATCACATGCACCAGGCTCTGTTTCAGATCCCCAGTGGGACAAAGAATGCTCTCCTTGTGCTGGCCCAGCCTTGGTTCCTACAGATCCTGGCGGCTGCAGCCCCTTTCTATGCCTCCAGCCAGATGCAGCTTCTTGGGCTGAGCCAGGGACCATCTCCCTGGACAGTTCAGAAGTGCCTCCTTCCTTTGGTGCGTGTCTTTCCCCATTTCTGGAGGGCATGTCTCCTTGCAGAAGGCCCCATAGAAAGGAACAAGTGTCCCAGGGAACCTCTCTGTCCTTTAACCTGTCCAGCAGAGACCCTTCAACTTTGTCCTCTCTCTATTGTGTGACATTAAGGGGCACCATCACCATTGTCACACCGTTTCTCTGAGCCTGGAACAGGGATTGGCCTCATTAGTCAAGGCCATCATGTTCTGGCCAGAGTGGCATCAACTGTAGGGAACAGGGGAAGGGAACATTATCAGAACCTCTGCAGTAAGTCCTAGTCTCCTGTGAGCCATGGCAGCACAAGGCGAATTACAGGAAAGGTAGACAGACAAATGAGACTGAGAAGAAGCTGAGCTTTGGGTCTGATCAGCGCTGCTCTGGGTGGCAAAGACGAAAGCCCCCAGCTTACTTCACCTTTTATTCAGTACTCAGTACATCGGGAGAAACAGATGTAACAAATGACTTGCAGAGAGTTCAGTACATCCTTCGTAAATAAGATGTAACAATCCAAGAACGATGAGGAACTGAGTAGATGAAGATCTTGTTCCTCCCAGGATGTCTTCAGCTGTGTAATCTTGTCCTGGAGAATCACAGCATCACCGGATGATTGAGGTCTCAGCTGTGACCGGAGGCCAAAATGGAATTATGTCTCGGAATTCCATAGCTGGGCTGTAGCAGGAGAACTAGGCTAACCAAATGATTTTTCCCTAAAATTATGTAGCGTTGCTCCCGACAATCACCCCAGCTGAAGACACCTTGAAATTTTTCTCAGCAGCCCCCTGCTTATCTACAGGGACACAAAAGTGTGGGTTGAGGTTCATTTTGTAGAGTGCAAAGGGCCAAATCATCAAGAGCCCCAAGTGTTCTAGTTAGCTGGGTCCCTTAGTTAGTGGGTGGTGGGTGATTACTACAGAATTTTGAGTTGGAATGAATTGATCAGAGACTGGTTTTAATTCATTTTTTAAAATTGTGATAAAATACACATGCCATAAAGTTTACCACTTTCATCTCCAGAATGCTTCAACTTCCTGAACTGAAACTTCATTCCTGTTAAAACATCAGTCTCCCTCATTCCCAGCCACTGCTGTCATTCCTGTTCCTGTGGTGACCAGGTTGCTGTGGCCTACTGGGCTCAGTGGTGAGGCTGGTCAGACTCTACTAAGCAGTGTTTTCTTTGACTGTTTGATAATTCTCGGTGGGGAATCACTAAGAGTTTCTCAAAGTGGACCAAGAACCAGAACTGAAAGGTTAAGTCCTGGACTGTGCCAGTGTGTCCGCTGGGCCCTCCTGCAGACAGTCACCCCCTTCCTCACTCAGGTCATGCCGGTAGGAGGCTGCTGAGGTGCTGATAGGCCTGCTGACTGCTATTGTCAGCATTAGGCTGGGGAGGCAGACGTTTGAGGTGCAACATGAAAGAAGGAAAGATATACCAAGTTTTGGGAGATACTGTTATCTTCTTAACACTGGCGTGGAAGATCGTCAGAGGCTGCAGGGAGGCAGGGTCAGGAGAAGTTGTGACAATAAGACAATTGCTTACAGAGACCTTTCCTGGGGAGGCCAGAGCCTGAGGATTAGCCATAAGCATAGAAGATGGGAGCAGAACTTTGCATGTTGGTTACAATTTTCAGTTACGATTTTCTTTTTATAAACCACAGTTCTGCCCTCCAGTTCTGTCTCCTTTGTGAAGGCATTTCTTTCTCCAGTGTGTTGTCCTTGAACACTGCATCTAAGGGTTTTTCCAAAGATGCACTTCCTCACTGACTGCTTGAGGTAGAGTGACACCCCCCACTGAGAGCCACCTCCCTGACCTTCCTCCTTCCTTCCTTGCTCAGGTAAACCCACCATATTACATCCCACTGGTGGAGCTGATCCCTCACCCTGAGACGGCCCTTACCACAGTAGACAGAACCCACGCCCTGATGAAGAGTATTGGACAGTCCCCTGTGAGAGTCCTGAAGGAGATCGATGGCTTTGTCCTGAACCGTCTGCAGTACGCGATCATCAGTGAGGCCTGGAGGCTGGTGGAGGTTGGTGCCCACCCACCCCCTTTCTTCCTTCCACAGTGAGCAGGCCAGCGGAAGTCACTTCCAGGCACCATCAGCATTCGATGCTCCTTGCTCTATTTCAGGGACACAGAGCAAGCTTAGAGACAGAATGTAACCTAGCAGTCCATTGTCTGTTGAAGAGATTGCTCTCCTAACGTTGTCATTTGATATCAGCATGATGACATACCTCTCTCTGCCCTTTCATAACATTTCCACATAATTACCTGTGTGTGACATGCAGTAGTTTCCCACAGACTCAGCTTTTACCATCCCCATTGTTAAAAATTTTTAGTAGGAAAAATTATATTTTGTACAAGCTTTTATTCCCGGGTGTAACCCAACTTATCTCTAGAACCTGTGAAATAAAATTAATAAACATTAAACTTACTAATAATAAGCTTATCTTATATACAAGTAGGACCTATATTCTTATATACATATTATACATCTTTGGCCATAAATATCCATAGGTTCTACATTCAATGATTCAATTAACCTTAGATCGAAAAATATTTGAGGGGCTGGAGCTGTAGCTTAGTAGTAGAGCCTGGTACACATGAGGCCCTAGGTTCAATGCCCATCACCCAGAACAAAACAAAAAATTGAAAAAGAAGGGGGTCTGTTCTGAGCATGTACTGACTTTTTTCTTGTCATTATTCCCTGAACAGTATAGTATAACAACTATTTACATAGCAATTACATTGTGAGTATTTGATGTCATCTAGAGATGATATAAAGTATATAGGAGGGTGTATTTCGGTCCTAAGGAAATACTATACCATTTTATATAAGGAACTTAAGTACCCATTGGTTTTGGTATCTTGGAGGGTCCTGGGACATGTCCCCATAGATACCAAGGGATGACCTGTGTATTTAGCCTCATCTTTTAATTAAAAGACTTTACATATGAGGACATGTCTAGCTGTGTATGTTCCCATGCACATTTGTGCAAGGCACCCTGGTTCCTAGCAGAAGAGAGGTCCGAGCAGCCCTAAGATGTGGAGTGAAAAGTCACAGAGTCTGGGGGAGAGGCCACCTGGCTCTTGTCCAGCTTCTGCAAGCCTCCAGCAACACGTTCCCGGCCATGCTGCAGAAACACGGTGCAGTACCTGAGGGTCTGCATAGTACAGTCAGGGAAGAAATGCTCGGCTAAACCCGTCATGGCCCCACAGTTCCTTGTAGTGACTTGCAGGGCTATGTACTGGGCCTCACCGGATACAGGAACCAGGAAGCCATCTGTGCCTCTCCTTCGGTGGGCATTGTATTGCAGCTGTTCAGCAGTTCCTCCAGATCCCAGTAGATGTGTATGATGTACGTGACACTCGCTCCTTCCTCCTGTTTGATTCATCATCCAACCTGCCTGCCCTGTGTGGCTGACTCAGAGAGGCTAATGCGACTCATTGCTTAGATCTGCTTGTTCTCCTACACCTGCAAGATGTGATGCTGGAATTTCCACTGTTACACTGGTAGTTTAAATTTCCTAAGGTGTACAGAACATTTTCAAGTCCTAGTCAGAGTTAGGGTATTTTTAAAAGTTCTGAACTTCAAGTAGCTCCTTTGAGAGCTTCTTAGAATATTTCCACCTATCTGGAATAAGACAACAATTTGATAGAGCATGAGAATAATTCAGTAGTTCAGTTATACCTTGTGTGGGAGAATGGCAATTTTAACTTTTTACTTGTAAGATATTTATGTGCTATGAGTTTGAGTCATGTTTTCTCCACTCTGGAAGATGTGGGCCAATATTAGGAAGCATTTGGAGACTCATATAAGAGAACTGTGCAGCACACAGTATTACAGCTGGAGTGTGATACGTATAAATCAGTCCTTGCAGAAACAGAAGGAATTTTACAGAAGCTACAGAAAAGTGTGGAGGAAGAGGAAAATAAATGGAAAGTTAAGGTGGATGAATTACAAAAGACAAGCAGCTGAGAAGAGAATGAGAGCATTTGGAAATGGAACTAGAGAAGGCAGAAATTGAATGATCTACTTATGTTACAGAAGTGAGAGGGTTGAAGACAAAGTTAAATGAAACATTCACAAAACTTAAAACTGAACAAAGTGAAAGACAGAAGGTAGCTGGTGATTTGGATAAGGCGCAACAGTCACTGAATCTTATCCAGTCAAAAATAGTACAAGCTGCTGGAGATAACTACTGTTATTGAGAATAGTGATGTTTCCCCAGAAATGGAGTCTTCTGAAAAGGAGACAATGTCTGTAAGTCTAAATCAGATTATAGCACAGTTACAGCGGTTGCTTCAGGCTGTAAACAAACAGCTCACAAAGGAGAAATAACACTACCAGGTTTGGAGTGAAGTAATTGGGAAACTTCAGGTGAGGACAGCAAGAAGGCATTGTATTATATTTTGCCAAATTAAAGCCTTATTTATGTTTTCACCCTTTCTACTTTGTCAGAAACACTGAACAGAGCTTTGTCTTTTCTAATCCTTGTTAGACTACTGATTTAAAGAGAAAAATTTAAAAAGCCAACTCTGTAGACACCTTCAGAGTTTAGTTTTATAATAAAAACTGTTTGAATAATTAGACCTTTACATTCCTGAAGATAACTGTGTAATATTTTACCTTATTTTGCTCAGTTCAGTTGTTCAGAAGATCAAAGTGGTAAAGACAATGTGAAATTTAACATTTTAATACTGATGTTGTACACTGTTTTACTTAATACTTCAGGGGAATAACTGCCTCTGACATCAACTCAAGACACTTCTGATGCTAGTGTAATCAGTTTTTGTAATGGCAGGCAGCAAATAAAGGGATGCTTATTATTCACAAAAGAGAGAGAGAGAGAGAGAACTGTGCGGAGGCACACGTGCACTCTGACCTCTCAGTGGAGCTGGCTGCAGCTAGAGAGACCTAAGGAGAATTTTGGTGTCTTCTTGCTGCTGGAAGGGGCAGGCTAGAAAAATCATTAGATTTGCTGTTCTGAAGTTCCTAGTGGCATGAGTTTGTGCCCTTTTTTGGATTGTCCTGATTCCCAGGTACATGGCAGACTGAGTGCAGTTGTGTTAAGGGTCTAGCAGAATGTCCTTACTGCTGGCTTTCAGGATAACAGACCTAGACAGTGACTCCTGAGTGTGACCCTGTGTTTGACTCACTCCTCACATTCCCATAAGGAGTTGAGTACTAAAATCTAGCAGGATAAATTGGTACTAACATGAGGAGAAGCCAACTGAAATGGGAAGATGAAGGATGTGAGATGAGAACCCAAAGATTTGCCTTACAGGAAAGTCTGGAAAATAATCTGTCCAAAAACAAGGATGATCTGCAGAAAATGAGAACTAAGACTCATCCAGAAGTGCAGGTGTGTCTGTCCAAGTTGGATGGGAGCTGGGGTGGGAACAGAGCTCCTGGTGATGCTGAGCTCCCACAGGGGTGAGGTGCACAGAGCAAGATAGGGGAGAGGCTGAGACATCTGCTTCTGCTCCTCCTTTTACCATCTCGGCTCAGCAGCAGCCCCTGAGTTGGCCACCCAGGAACTTGAGTCAGTATGGGAGGGCTGAGGACACTGGCACACTGGATGCAGCCGCATGGACACCTTGATTTTCACAATTTCTGTGCCAGGTGCAAAGCATTCCCACTGACAAGGCAGTGTGTGCCTGGCACAGCACCCACTAATGGATTGGTGTAGGGACACTTGACTGCTGCATGACTTTCTTGTAAGACAGTCCATGCTATTCGTGGGCTGTTTTCTCTTCAGATACTGCAAGTCAGCAAAGGGTAGCAAACCTGTAAGAGCTCCACCCTCCCCTGCTGTGAATCTCCATGCATGCCCAGAGCCATGTCTGGGTGAGGGTTAAATGACTCCCCTCTGACTCACAGCTTCAGAGCCAGTCAGACTTGAATTTGCATTTGGGGGTATTTTGACAGTTGAACTTGAGCTGAGATTTGGGGTGTTCCAAGTTTACCTCAAAATTTTTAAGAGCTCCAGGCATGGTGTTACACATCTATAACCTCAGCTATTTGAGAGACTGAGACAAGAGGATTGCAAATTCAAGGGCAGCTGGGCAAATTAGCAAGACCCTTTCTCAAAGTAAAAAATCCTTAAAGAGAGCTGGTGACATAGCTCAGTGGTAGAGTGCCCCTGGGTTTGATCCCCGGTACTACAAAAACAACAACTAAAAGCAACTTTGTAGAGCAACTTTAATATCAAAAGGAACAGAACTGGAGGTAGTTTTACTGTACGACTAAAGACTGGTACACGTTTTAAGTTCAAGAGATCTACAGGCCCTGCAGGGCTTCCCTGAAAGTGAGGCCTAGGGTGGATTCCACCTGCAGCCAGAAGCAGCTGACACTTGAGCCTGGATCACAGCAGACTGAATGAGCTTCCAGGTGAGGGGTTGCCCCCAGGACTCCCTGTGGATGCTCTGTCTCTGTCTTCTCTGGATTCACAAAGCATACTGGAAGTGGGCAGGCCTTTTCTGCTTGAGCCAAGCTTGGTGCATTCATCGGTTAGGGCTGTTAGATCCACAGTTAGATCTAGCAGATCAAATCCAAGTGTGACTTTCTCAGGGTCTGACTCCAGACTGGGATCTGGCTGGAGTACGACAGGCAGTGGGCCTGGCGAGAACAAGGGCTTGAGGTTCCACTGAGCATGGTGGCGTCTTGATGCTGATGTGGAAAGAGCAGTGTTATGCTCGCTCACTGTTGATTCCGGAATTACACTACACTGGTTGATGGGTGTTGAACCAGCCTTGCGAGGACTAAATCCCTGTTAGTCATGGTGTCCTTCTTTTGTTTAAAATTTAAATATTTGTGGTTTTTAAAAAAAATTTTTGGTACCAGGGATCAAACTCAGGACCCTGGACTTTTGAGGCAGGAGTGATGTCACTGAGCTAAATCCCTAGCCCTAAATATTTGTTTTAAATTGGCAAATAATAATTGTGTCTATTTACAGTGTACTCTGTGATGGTCTGGTAAATTTGGGGATGATGATATCAAGCTGACTAGCATACCCATCACATCAA